GGGGGGGGCTTTGCTGGGGGATTGCAAAGCCTGGCGCTGAAGCAGCCGGCCCGCGCCCCAGAATTCGTGTCGGCCCGTTGACGTTTTCACACACCCCTCTGCGGGTGGAGGGCTGAGGCGGCGCAAACCCGCTTTCTCTCAGCGGTGATATTCTTAGCAGTTGTGGGTTTGGGGTTGGTTTCCTCCCCGGTGCAAATTAACTTTGCGGTGCTATTTGCATCTTCCTTGCGCGGAACTGCAAGCGTTCGGGGCGAGGGGTTGGCAGGCGGGTTCCCTGCTGCAGGCGTTCCAAAATCAGGCGATGCTCAGCCCGGTCCCGCTGCGTGCGCGGCGCTGCGGGGGGGTGGCGGCGTCAGGGCCGTGGTGCCGAGCGGCGCGGGCGCATGGGGCGTCCCTGCCCCGGCAGGAAAGCCCAGAGCTGTTCCCGCGGGGCTCTGGCCCTGGGGCCCGGCTCTCCCTCCTGCCTTCGAGGAGACTTTTCAGTCTGAAATAAGCGTTTGTAACTCAAACCAAAGGCGGGACCTGCCCTCCCCCCCCACCCCTTCCATCGCTCGGGCAGGATTTCCGTAGTGGCAAAGCAAGAGCCGAGCTCAGCAACTGCTCCCGTGAGGAGATGCCTGCTCCGGCCCCTCCCGAGCCCTTGCTGGTTTCCATCACTGCCTCCGAGCCCAGGGCAGACGGAGGGCGGGAGGGAAGTTGAGCAAAGAGGCGCAGGGCTCCGAGGGAGCAGACGGGAGAGGCTTCATCAGGTCCGGAGGGAAAAGGTGCCCCTGCCTCCTAGCACGGGCCGCGAGCGCGCGTGTGCCGACGCGGCGCCTGCCCTGTGGGCGATGCCTTTTGGAGCGGAGACGCTCGCGGGCAGCGTTTGCCCTCGGGAGATTTGCTGTTTGGTTATTCGGACTTGATGCAAGTGCTTTCATTTTGAAACTCTCGCCGCTGGGCTTGGGCTCTGGGCTTGGGTTCAGAGCTGTTGTACCGAGATCCCTGCCTGTGAGAGGATTTTAATTTCTTATTTTTTGTTAAATTAGGATAGGAAATGTATGGGGGGTTGGGTTTTTTTCTTCTTCCTATAGAGTAATTTAGATAAAATGGGCTGCTGGGGGATTTGTGTAGTATGGAGGCGATTTTCCTTCTCTCCCTGAAGCTGTAAGTGGCTGCTCGGGGTCTGTGGGCGTTGCTTCACACGCTGATCCCAGCCTCTCTTCCCGTAGTAGTAATTCTGCTTGCCCTGATTTGTGTCCACAGGACAATGTTTTCCACCTGGGACCGACCTTGCAAACGGAGCTCAGAGCTCTGTGAAACTCGTGAGCCCACCTGTGCCTCAATTTTGTGCTTACAGATATTTTGTATTTGCATATATTTGTATTTACAGCTCAAAAGGAGCTTTGTTGTAATGCTTTGAAGTGCCAGCGGTCGCTTGCCAGCAGTGCAGCCTTGGCAAGGGGCAATTCCTGGTTTGGAGGGCGGGCGGTCCCGGAGGGAGGGAAGCAGTGGGCACGTTGGTGATGCCCAGCACACAGTCTGTGGCAAACCGGTGTGCAGAGGTGCTTTGCAAGTACAGGGCACCCAGGTATCGAGGCATCGGAGCGTTACTGTGAGCGGCGATGAATGCCCGTGGAGGAGGTGGCTGCGGGAGGGGCTCAGACCCTGCTGCCACCGACAGCTCCGTTCGTGCTGTACGACACGGGACGAGAGCTCCCGGCTTTACCCGGAGCACTCGGCCTCCGCGTAACTTGTGCTCCCCGGGCGGTTTGGGGAATTCACTTGCGGGTTGGTTTCTAAAGCGTTAACGCTCCGATCCTCGCAGCAATTGATTCCCTCCTGCGCACGCGTGCGCACACGTTGCATCCCGGCGCTTGTTTCCCAAGGGAGCCAATGTCCCTGTTTCATTTTCAAACTGTGCTTGCCCCTGGACCTTGCTCGTTTTAACGCTGTTCTTTACTGATGGTTTTATCATCTCGGCTTTCTGGGGTGTTTGGGAAGGATGCTCAGTGCCGCAGCTGAAGCGCACCCAGCGCCCCGAAGGGTTCGAGAGTCTCCCTGGCTCCTGGTGAGGAGCTGGCGGGTTTCGGAGCTGGCTGGTTGCTTTACTGATTTCTATAGCGACTGTTGCCTTGGCAGCAAAGGTCCTCGCTTGGAGGATAAAGGCACTGTACAAACATGAGGAAGGCGTGATTTCATTTGGGAAGGCTTTGGTTTTCTTCAGAAGGGTTTCAGAGCACTTTAGGTGGAGATTGGAGATGAACAAACCGCGTTTGGGATTGGGGGTTTTTTGGGTGTGGATTTTTCTTTTCTTTTGCTGTTTTAGGTGGATGTGGTCTTGCCTCATCAGCATTAATTGCAAGGCGTAATGCTTTCTGCTTGGAAGTTCGGAGGTAACGGGGGACGGTGCGTTACCCTGTCAGCCATGGCCGGGCTTGGTTGGACCCCACAGCCGCCCCAGACAGTCCCGTGCCACCTGCCCGGCGGGCCTCCGCCGCTCGCTCCGCGGTGAGACGGGGGCTTTGGCGTGAAAGGTGACACAGTGACGTCCCACGGCCGTGCTCAGCTATCCTCGGGGCAGACCTAGAGACAGAAAACTGCAGCGTTCCTTTGCACCTTGGCCGCCAAGTCACGCGTGGAGGCGTAGCCAGCCGAGGAATTTCTTGCCCTTGAACCGAAGAGGGGGCTGCTTCCACCCTCCCTCCTTGCGCCCAGCCGCGTGTCCGCACAGCGGCCTTCCTCCGCCAGGTTGCGTGGTGCGCGCTCGGATCCTCGTGTAGCGCACGGGGGGGCTGTGCCCGTGGGATCGCAGCCCTCCTGTGGGCAGGCTGAGCGCTCCCTGCCGGGAAAGCGAAAGGTCTGAGCTGGCACCTCAGAGTTAGCTGGGAACCAGGGGAAAAAAGGTCATGCAAACACGAGGGGGCGGGACTGGAGCCCTCGCGCAAGTTATTTCGGCCTGCTCAGTCGTGTGCTGTGGGTATTTTGAGATACGGGGTTTATGTGGTGTCATTATCACAGTGCAGTTGGTATTATTGCGATAATCACGCTGTTTTTTATAATTCGTTATCAGATACAGGGTCCTTAACGAAGCAACCTGCTGCGGATGGAGGCAGCGTTTTAGTGGCCCGGCCCGAGCCGACGACCCGTATCAAAGCTGGGGAGGTTTGGGTGCGCGCCCGTCCCCCTGCCCGTCCCCATGACCTGCTGGGGCAGTGGGACCAAGCTCAGCCTGCGGAGCGTCCCGGCAGCAGCCGATGCCCATCCCCACCTTCTGTGCACGGGAGAGGACCTTCTGTAGAAGCAAGGGGGCCACCAAGGGCTGCTCGCCCCCCATACCGTTTCTGCGAACCTCACCTGGTCAAGCTTCCACGAACGCATGCTAGAACGTGAGGTTTTTTTAATGTGACAAACTGGAAGGTGTTTGTTAAAGAAGCGTTTTTGCCTATTCCTCCCCCATTAGACAGGCAGTGAAAGGGAGGTTTGGATGATGGAAATTCTGGTTGGTTTTCCTCGTTTTAACTCTCAGTGGGAACGGCTCCGTGGCCTGCGTCCTCGGCAGAGTGTTTTCTTTCCTCTAAGCCTTCCTCCCGTGAGTATCAGTGACTCCGCTTTTACAAAGGGCGGTCGATAGGGATTTGCGGGGTGGTAGGGGTGGGCTGGGATTGCGCCTGCCCGGCGCCGCGCTCCCGCGCACGTCACCCGCGAGGGCTGAAGCTTCCTGCTGGGAAGCACCTTGCTCCTGGGAGAGCCCCGTGCCATCGCCGTCCATCCGCCCCAGGGGACGAGATGGGGGGGGTGTGCCTCTGTGCGAGAGGGCTCGTTTGTAAAACCACCAAAGGCTCTTAGGAGTTATAGTTTACGTTCCAAAAAGACACAAAAACTGGAATTGAGCAATCGTTGTTCTTCTGTGTGTACCTTTGATAGCATTACTGATGGTGAGTTCGGAGCACAAGCGAGTTTCTGGGTTGATGATGGCTTTCAGCAATGTTGCCAAACCCTGCCGTTTTCCTGCGAGACACAGACACATCTGCTGCTTCTCACAACATGGCCGGGCATCGCGGGGCTGCACCAGCACGTTACAACTCTGGTGCCAGGATCAGAGTGGTGTTTGCAGCTGGCAACAAACATTTGTTCTCTTGGCTCCACGCAGAGCTCACGTTAAAGCCTAGCAGCTCAGTCGTGGCAGGAGGAGCTGCGTGTGCCTGGCCAGGCGGGAGATGGGATCTGGAGGTTGGCTGCAGGCTCCTGAGCAGCGAGGAATGCAGCCCTTGGCACTGTGTCTGTGGGATCCGGAATCCCTGAGCCCGCAGGAGCCTTGTGGGCTGTTGGACGGAAAGGCTGGTCTGTCGGGAGGTTAATGGTGAAGCTCTGCTTCCCTCCTTTCTGGGTGGTTTGGGAACCCGATCCAGTCACTCCCGTGTTCAAGATGGGAAAGGTTTAATATTGCCCCACCTCGTGGTGTAAGCAGAGTGCTCCGACAACCCCGAATCCATGCTGAATTTGTAAAGGAAAACTTGGAGAGGCAGCCGATGTAGTTGTTAAATGGCACAGGAAAATGAGGTCCTGCTGCCCAGGTGTGTAGAAGGATTAAAAAATAAATAACTTGGGCTTTATCGAGATTGTAAGGCGCTATGCTGGGAAACAGCGAGCCTGTAGAGAAGTCTGTTCGTGTCAGTTGTGAACTCGATGCTGTGCGGTTTTGTGTCTCATGGATTTCGGCCTGAGTTTCGACCCTAGGACAAGCGTGAAAGCGTGTCCTGCATTTCCCTTCACGCAGACACCGATTCCTCGGTTGTGAATCACTGGTGCATCCCTTGAGGCTGACGCGTGGCGGGCATCACAGGGGCGATGGTGTTGCCGTCCCCTCGGTCTGCAGTCGGCGAGCCCGGGCACGGGTAAGCGAGGTCGCTCAAGGCTGCCGTCGCCCTTCGCGCGCAGGCTGAGCCCGGACGGGGAGCTGGAGGCAAAGCACCTCCCGTAACTGCTGGTGACACCAGCTCTGCTGGCGTGGAGTGGCGAGGCAGGGTCCGTGCTGGAGCTCCGTGCTGGCTGGTGCCAGACCCAGGATTTCGGGTGCCCTGCGGTAAGGCGGCCCAGGGAGTGCAGCGGGGACCAGCGTGGTGGAGAGCCGAGCTGCTCTCCCTCGGCCAGAGGCTGGGAGGGGTTCCTCGTGTGGGTTAACATGCATAATTCAATCCTTCCTTTTTTCCATGTTCAGAGCTGTGTAACTAAATACCAATTTGCTAAACGCAACTTGAGTAACGGAGCAATCTGTGGCTGAAAGCCTTCCTCAGTACACAGAACCCCACGGGGGAAAAAAAGAAAGAAAATAGAGCTGTATCCTCTCGTCCGCTGCTTTAGAGCAGCGCAGGTATTCGCAAGAGGGAACGTTCGTCTTCATCCCTGTTCACTCCACGGATTTAAATGCACGTGCTGGGTGGCGTACGCAAAGTGCTGCCGGTCCTTCGTCCACAGCTTTTTCTTTTCTCAGTCACCAGACCTGGTTCATTCCATGGAGAAACGGGTTAAAATCTGCAGCTTGTGTTTCTTGCTCGGTTTAGAGGTAATGGGTCAAAAAATACATTGATGTGCAACGTGGTCCCGTTTTGCATAGGAGCTACAGCTCGGTCTCTGTTTTGTACCACTTCTACTCAAGTCGTGCCAGTAGTGTCGATTATTTTGGTTTTCCTCAGCGGCAGCTTCGCTCCTTGGGTTGAAACACAAAATTCTGGTAGCTTGTGAGAGCTTAAAAATATTCTTTAAGCTGAAAAAGGCACGATACAACTTTGAAAATACAAAGTGTTTTTTCCCCATGCAGTTCCTTTCTTCAGGTCACTTTGGGTTTACCGTGCTGCCGGCTCCTGCAGGAGAGCCTGGGCCGGGGGGCCGGGGGGCTGGAGACGGGGGTCCTGGCCATTTGCTCTCTTTCCTCGGGGAGGGCCATTGCTTGCTTGTTTGTTTGTTTGCTGAATAAACGTTTCGGACCTGGGAATTTCCCGATGGCGTTCACTGCCACGTGATCGCTGTCTCGTGCTGAGGATTTTGCTGCTCCTGTCTCCGAAATGCAGGAAGAGGTTCCAGCAAGTAACATCTGATTTCCTGGAATTTTCGTATGGGGAGTGACCAGCTCTTCTAAGATTTCTACGCTAATTTTGTAATTAATCGACTGTAGAAGCTTGTTACCCAGTTACTTGGGGTTTTTTTCAAGTTTCACTTTCATTTTTCTACTGGTTCCTTTTTTAGCCAATGACAAATGTTAATCTGAATTGTAGCAGTATATACCGTGGAAACTGTAAAATGTACCTGGGAGAGCTGCTGAACGTCTGCTCGAGTCCTGCAAACCTGGATGCTTTGGTTTATTTTCATGCAAACCTGTTTGGGCCTTGATTTTTCCTGCTGGTGCTTCAGCTCGCAGGTGTATCCATGCCTATCTACATCACTTGTTGTGTGTGTTGCTGCCCTGTAGAGAAGCATTTTCTGTGGTACGCCCCATTGCTTTTGGTGTGCAGAACGGAAGGGTGCCTTGCAGGACAAAAACCAGGCTTCCTGTTCAGTGACTGGGTGCGAGGCGTTGCACTGAGATACCAGGCTGGGGGGGAGGTTTGCGACACGAATAAACATTTGCTCTGTATTTGCGTTGTGATTTTAAGGGGAGTTTGGGTGCTGGGTAGATCCTTAAATCCATTAGTGTTGTGATTTTAAGGGGAGTTTGGGTGCTGGGTATGGACCAGACCTGCATAGTAACGGAAAATGCAGCAGATAGAGAGCAGGAAGGAGGCCTTCCCACAGCTGCAAGTGGTGTTTATAATAGAAACCCCCCAAAGCTCTCGAAGTCAGTAGCAAGCTTGGAAAGGACGGTTCGGTGTGTACAAGGCTGGAGCTCACATCAAGTGGTCTCTTCCATGCCAGAGTCGAGCTATTCTTTTGCAGCAGTTTTGTCTTTAAATGTGAATTGCAAACTATGGGTAAATGCTGTCCTAACGACTGGGTTTGGGTTTTTCCCCTCCCCAGGGAGAAGAATGCCACCGCTAATATGATGTGAGCCGCTCCCCGTGCTTGCCGCAGCGCCTGGATCCTCGGGCGGTTAGAGACGGGGACTCGCCTCTCGCCAAACTGCTCCCTCGGACAAGATGAAGCCAAGGAGGAGCTTTCCGACGCGCTGGAGTCGCAGTGGCTGCTGCCCAATTTAAAATCCATGTCAGACTGTGCCCCCGCTGCCCGGCAAGATGAAAGAAGTGGTGTTGTGGTCACCTGAGGAGGTGACGAATTGGCTAACGGAAAATGCTGTGCCGGAGTACTGTGAGCCATTGAAGAGCTTCACCGGGCAGGATTTGATCAACCTCACAGAGGAGGATTTCAAGACGACACCTCTCTCCCGGGTGTCTTCCGACAGCGGACAGCGGCTATTGCACATGATCGAAACTTTAAAAATGGCTCACCACATCGAGGTTCACAAAAACGGGCACGTCAACGGGCACATTCGCGTCAGCGTGAGCGGCGCCACGCGCGAGAATGGCTTTAGCAGTAAAATGAAGCTGAACGGGATGCCAAATGGGTATAAGAAGGAGATGATCCAGATCCCCATGCCAGAGCCAGAGCGCTCGCAGTATCCTATGGAATGGCGCAAGACTTTCCTGGCTTTTATTTATGCACTTTTTTGTTTCGTCTTTACCACAGTGACTATCTCAGTCGTTCATGAACGAGTGCCTCCCAAGGAGGTGCAGCCTCCCCTACCAGATGCATTTTTTGATCGCTTTGATCGGGTGCAATGGGCTTTTTCTATTTGTGAAATCAACGGCATGATCCTTGTAGGACTGTGGTTTGTTCAGTGGCTGCTCTTAAAATACAAGTAAGTAAAACCTTTTGAAAACTGAGTGCTAGGGTAGGCTTCCGACAGCCTCTGGAGGGCGCATGCTGGTTTACATCCCAACAAAATGAAGCTTCTCATGGTCTTTCTGATTCTGGTTTCCCAAACTGAAATAGGTGTCGTGCCATAGGCAAACTGCAGTTTGTGTGAGCTGCTGCTGCAAAAGGGAGAACTTCAGTCCAACTGCTACCTAAGACACTGAGATACAACCCTGGTCTTGTTGGCCTGCACGATTAACTTGAGCCCTTTTCAGGGGTGAAAGCCATGAATTGGGTATAATGGTGTTCTTAGCTCAGCTGACTGGCCGGTCTGTGTGGGGGGAGCACAGCTCACACTGCTGTGAACACGGTTGCAAACCCACTTGGGATGGATTTAGTGCCGCTGTAGTTTGCCTGATGTAGAGACCCACCCCGAGATTGTGATTTAGGCTGTGCGCTTTAGTCTGTGCACCTAAACGCTGCTGCGTGAGCAAGCGCCGAGGTACGTTTTCTGCTTGACATTAGACGGGGTAGGGGATGTCAAACACAAAGTATGCCCACAGATAACCCTAAGATAAGCAAAAGCATAGATATGCAAGGAATTTGCAAGGTCTTAGTCACTGTCTGCCTCCTTGCTCGTACTGGTCAGAATCGAGAGGGAGAATTTGCCTGCCCGTGGAAGTGCCCTACTGCTTACCCTCCACCGAGTGCGTGCGGATGCCGCATCTAGGGTATTTGTACTGCCGTAAATCCACGCCTTGGGCTGCCTTACCACGCATGTCTGATGTACCCTTGTGCTGCCATGGCTGTGAATGAAGTGTTCAGAGTCGAGTGGCATTAAGCAGTTTGTGGTTGGCATATCACCTTTCCTTTGGAAAACCAGGCACAAGCGTGTTCCCGCGGCTGCCCACCCCAAAGAGGGTCTCCTCCTCTGCTGATGCATCATCTCATTCTTTACCTGTTCATGGACTCTTTTTTGTGGCTCCTATGTAGGGAACTGAGGAAGGAATGTTTAGTCCGGAAGTTGCATGGTGACACTGAATAGACCCTATGTGTCTTCTTTGTTGGACTGCAAAGTCAGGGCCAAAATGGAAGAGGGTGTTGGGTGTGTCAGTCCAGCTAACCACAGTGCAGGGTTTCCCTTGGCCTCCATTACTGCTTTCTTGCCTGACAATTAATTTTACCCTCAGGCAGAGACTGGAGTTTCTGACTGGCTTCGGGGCAAGACTCTAGATTTGCTGGTCACGGCGTTGGGTTGGGTTGGTTTCTCACCAGGAAGCAGGAGCAGGGGGGAGTACAGGTCTTGGCTGGGGACACCGGGCTGCCCAAGATTTTTTTTCCGCAGACACCGTGGGGAGCTCGAGGAGTCCAGGCAAGCTGCCGAGGCAGAATTAACTTCTCTGGGAAGCATTCCCAGATGTTTTGGGAGAAGTACAATGCTGGTTTTTGGCCGTGCTTGACATCTGATTCAGCTCATGGGATTGAAAAAGCCGTGTGCTGGCTACCCGCATTGGGCGAGGTCTGGGGAGTTGTAATGGAAGTTGTCTTGGCCAGGAATAAGCTTACAGGTTGTGCTTGCAGCTGGCGTGTGATCACCCACGCACACACACAAATCCTTTGGAGAAAGGAAAATATGAGGCTTTTTGTTTTTTTTTTTTTTTTAATATTACAGTACAGAGCACTTTGACGCAGACTTTCCTAAGCTAAAATGTGCTAAATCCAGCTAAACCAAGTAGGTTTGTGGGTAATTTTAGTTAAAAAGAAAAAGTTCGGTGCTCGGTAAAACACTGCTGCTTCTTCTGTCTCTTGAAATGCAGTGCTGCTCAGGCTTTCATCCCCAGCCCTCGTTTGCTTTGTACCAGGTTGTAAGGAAAAACAAGTTCATGCCTGGTTGTAAAAGCCAGGCACAACTGTGAGATCTTCATTGGATCACCCTTCCGAGGGTGCTCCCCACGAAACGCGGAGGAGAACCACTGCCACGACGGCGTGGTACCTTCTGCTCTTCAATTTGGGTCCACGGAGCTACATTAATAAAGTACAATTTTTAAGTCCCAGCTTTGGCCGTGTTTGCAGCAGGAAGGGGAAGAAAAAATAGGAATGACAGTGTTTGAGCAGCCGCGAGCACGTGAGCACGGACGGCGTTTACACCGTAATAGCTGAAGCTGTTCTGATGAATTGAGGCACTGGAGTTGTTACCAGTCTGGCACTGGGAAGTCGTACTCCTCCCGGAGCGCAGCACTACAGTTCAATAACGCTGCCAAAAGCCATTAAAAATAAAAAACATGGCCAATTCTGAGCGTCCAAAGAGCTCGGCTTGGTAGAAATACTATTTTTTAAACAGTGAATGCTTCAGATTAGCAACAAGTGAATGCCAGAAGTTGCAACTGGTGTTATAACCCTTGTATTCCCAAACGACCATAATGGTAAATAACAAGGATTTAAAATCAACCGAAACCACCAGGGTCTGTAGCCATCGGGGTGCAAAGAGGTGGTATGGTGAAGGTCATGAACTGCTGTAGCTGGGTTTTGGATTTGCCCTTGGTTTTTGTGACGCTGGCGGATGTGCCAGACGGGTTTGACTGTTGTAGCTCTTCGCGTGTGATGGTGTGTGGCCATGAAGCCCAGCGGGCCGGTTTTGGGGCTGGCCGTCGCTCCCGACTCAAGCTGCAGCTCTTTCCCCCGCGTGTTCTTGCTGGCGGTACCCCAAAGGACATCCGTGTCCTCTGCGTACGCCGCGACTCGCCGGCAGCCCTCGGTGGATACATCTCTGCAGCTATGGCTGTTTGCCTTGGCTTCCCGTGAAAACACCCCGTCCCGTAGCCAACGCGGCTCTCTGTTTATATTTTGGAGGTTTTGTTGCCGATGGGAACTGCTCCCGCTTCGGTGCTGCTGAGGAAAGATGTGATCTCACTCGTTTGGGTCACACAAGCTCCTTCTCCTCAGGCAGCCCTTTGGAATTACTAAGTGCATGTGTCAGCCAAAATAAAGTTATTCCTTTTCATCTTATAATGAAAATATAGTAACTTTATCCCCTGCCTTGAATAGAAAATTGGTGACCGCTCAAAGCTAATTGGAGGGGTGTGGGGCATGAAATCCCTTTTAGTCCTCAACACTAAATCTGCGCAGGCTTTTGTATTCTAATCCTTGTATTTTCTGTAATCACCTTCATGGGTAATGTTGAGTTTCTCTTCTTTCTGACCTGTGAAGCGTGGGAATATTTGTAGTAATTCAGTATTCTCGGGTGGAGGCTGGCACTGTCACAAGTTCCAGAAGGGAACAGTTGGTAGTTCATCTTATTTACCTTTGCATATTTTGTTTGCATTGAGTGACCTTATTTTTTCCTCTTTTTCTCCCTTCTTCTAGGTCTATAATAAGCAGAAGATTTTTCTGTATAGTTGGCACACTATATCTGTATCGGTGTATTACCATGTACGTGACTACACTCCCAGTACCTGGCATGCATTTCAAGTGTTCTCCAAAGGTAAACTTCTTCCGGCTGCCTTTCCGGATTTTAATCTGCATGTTTTCCCCTTGTCCTGCCGTTACCAAAACTGCGAGCAGCACTTTCTCAATAATTGTTACTAACTTGAAAACACCAGTTTGGCATGGTCGGGAGGTCCTTGCGCAGATCGTCAGCTTCCCTCTCGGTTCATGAGGGTGCTGGCGGGTGCTTTGGGCAGTGCGGGCGTCCCCACCCTTCTCGAGGCGCTAATCCACGCAGCTTCTGTAGCATTTCCAACTCGCTTGCCCAGTCGGCGTTCTTCTGTCTCCCCCAAAGCAGTCGAAGGTGTGCAACCTGTGGAGGTGCCGTGTGAGACTCATTTATTTCTAAACACTGTGTCAAATCCAGGTACGGTTTGTATTTGAAAATGGCCCAAAGAGGCTTTCCTAAGGCTGGTGCAACTCTGCCTCCTTTGCAGCCCTTTGTCCCTGCACACACTTTTGCGTTGGCATATGGACTTGCCACCTCCTCCCTGATCCAGCACTGACTCCTGTTTGTTGTGCCGAGGAATAAAATGGGCTTGCGAAAGCCGTGGCTGAAACCAAGCTACCGAGACAGAGCTGCTTAGGCAAGACCCTTGTAGGCAGCCTTGAAGGGTGATTTGCGTGCTCGGGGTGGAGATGGGACAAGGGCACTTGGTGTCACATCCATCTCGTGTCACACGAGCATTAAGCGTAAAGCGTGGTCCTTAGCGCAACGTGCTGTTCGTGGTAGGGACGTGCAACCTCATACAGGCTGGACTCCTACGGCAGGGAGCAAGGTGCTCTTCTCCATCGTGGTTCATCCCTGGGCCCCTCCTGGCGTTGTTTGTGCTATGGCTTGACTTAAGCAGGAGAAAAGGGGGGGAAGAAGTAATTCCTGTGAAACGTATACTGCATGCACAGTTCAACGGCTTCGTGTGCACAGCCCTGAGTTGGGTGACAGGTAGCAAAATCAGTGATGTACAAGTAGGAAAAGCTTGGTTTGACTTGGTGCATGAGCTGTTGCCCTTTCGGTGGGGATTGCTGGTACGTAGGGAGCCGAAATGCTTCGGTTCCCTGGGGAAGTAAAGCCAGCAAACGTACTACACCGGTTGTTTGACAAGGCAGAGTGTTTGCCAAGCCACGTGTGGCTTTTTGAGGGACCGAGGTCTTTTGTGAAGAGCGGCCGGCGGGAGAGGAGTCAACATTGTATTTGGTCAATCAGCCATTACGAAACGAAAGGAGAAGGACCACAGATATTTATGGGCCGAAGTGAGTAAATCTGCCAGTTTTGGAAATTTCTAGCGTTGGCAAGTCCATCTCATTACTCAAGTGAAGACAAGCCTGTCCCGTGCTCTTCTATTGCCCCGATAAGACTGAGGATTAGCTGGGCTTTCTTGAAAGCTATAAATACACTGGTGGGAAAAGAATAACCTCTCAGCACCTTACTGAGCTATAGATGATTGTGAAGAGTGAGCTTTCGGGAGCATTTTCATGTTTCGTAAGGCAGTGTTAGCAGGAAATGTTTAATTGCTGCAAAGACCCTGTTTAAATCTGTCAGAAATTAGTAATTTCCCGTTCTTAAAACAAGACCAAGCTTGAAAATAAAAGAAAAACATGCCTGTAATGGCCAGCCAGGGGGATCGGTGTCGTCTTCTGACTGGTAAATGGTTATCAGGGATTTTAAAACCTCATAAAATGAGGTAAGGATGCAGCACAGGTGTAGTCACGTGCATTGATCCATTAGTCCTGCTCCTTTGAGCTCAGGTTCCTGGAGGTGCTTGGTCCGTTCCAGTTGTGCTTGTCCCATGACACACACTTTCTTTGTGGATTTGTTTAACATTCGGGCTTGTTTTAGAGCTGGGAGCAGGAAGAGCAAAGTCCTGGGACAGTGTCAGCGGCCCTTTGGTCACCTGGGAGGAGGGAGAGGGGCGTCCTCACCAGAAGGACTTGGTTTGCTTCAATTTGGCTTTCCTAAGGCAAGCTGAAGTTTTCTCAGAAATGCCCCATCATGGGTTGGAGGTGGGTCAGAGCAAATCAGGTGTGGAAGAATGTCCCGGTTGCTCACATGGGTCCCAGAATCCCAGCATGGCAGGGGTTGGCAGGGCCCTCGGGAGCTGACCCAGTGCCACCCCCCTGCCCAAGCAGGCTCACCCAGAGCAGGGGGCACAGGACAGCGGCCAGGCGGGGGTTGAAGATCTCCAGAGAAGGAGACTCCACAGCCCCCCTGGGCAGCCTGGGCCAGGGCTCGGGCACCCTCACAGTCAACAAGTTCTTCCTCACGTTCAACTGGAACCTCTTATGGTTCAGTTGGATTGTGTGAGCTAAAGCCAGCGCAGAAGTTTGGCTCTGTGCGCTGACAAACACCGCTTAGGTTTCTTTTGAAATGTGAAGTGGAAAGAAATTATTTTGAAGACGCCCCAAGGCCTTAGAGTTTGGGGTGAGGTACTCTCTTCTGCGCATTGAAGCTGGGTTTCGGCAGCTGGACGCACAGCTTGGGTGGTTCATCCTGTTCTCCGTTGGATTATCATCTGTAGGGCCTGCGCTGTTACAAACAAAAGGAATTAAATTAAGCTTGATTTGTTTTAGAGTGCATTGCCTCTTGAACAGAAGGACAGACAGATGTGTAGAGAACATGACAATTTTAGCTCTAGCTGGAAATAGTTTTAATTCCTTTCTGTTGGTGAAGCTGGGTTTTGAGTCTGTGTTACGGAAGGTGTAGGTTTTCCAAGAGCCATTATTCTGAACCTCACTGTATATATCTGAGGTTTATACATATATACATATATATATATACACACACACACATATATATATATAAACCCATTGTATATCCCAGGGCAAGAATGTCATGAATAAAAGGAGGTCTGAACCCATTCGCTCTGCTTGAAGATTCCAACTAAAAACCATTTTCCTGCACAGCCACAAACATTGGCAAAGGCCACCAGCACGACCTGGGAGAAGGATCACGCCTTTGCATGGTTGCAGCAATAAGTGCTTATAAATAACATAGAAAACAATTTTTGCTCGCTTACCTGTGTTACCATAAGGCTCTGAGAGCAGCCACTGACAGGGGTTTAACAACTTCTGGAATAGAAAAGATGCCACGTTTTTCATTGCAACTGGAAGTGACCTGTTAAAAAAAAAAAAAAGGCCTTTTTTTCTGTGCCTTTTCAATCTATATTGTGAGCGTAGGAAAAGAGAGTAGTCCTTTGGGATGTTGTATTTATAGGGCAATTGAAACAATTGCCTTGATTCTTCATGCATTGAATCCTTAAAACAACGTTTTGGACAAATGAGTGGAGATGCACGCAGCCTGTGCTCACGTGAACGCTGGCCGTGATGGGTGCAAAGCATCGGTAACAAGTGAGCTCCTGCCTCGCGCCCAGTCTCTCTCCCTCTGGAAACGTGCTGCTGGCTTTTGGAAAAGGCTGGGATGTACTGATGGTTCTTGTGTCCTGGGCAGCAGGAGGGAATAACTGGAAGGCAAAGCTGCTGGCTAGCGCCATCGCTTTCGGCTCCAGCAGGTTAGCGCTGGTCTCTTACCCTGCTTTTGTGTTTTGCTCTTCCGCCAGCTTTTTGGAGACTGGGAATCTCACCTGCGGAGGATAATGAAGCTGATTGCTGGCGGAGGGTTGTCCATCACAGGATCCCACAACATGTGCGGCGACTATCTGTACAGCGGTCACACCGTCATCTTAACTCTTACGTACTTATTTATCAAAGAGTGTAAGTTGGTGACTGTGCCTGTGGCATTCCCTCCCGTGGCATCCCTCGCTAGCCAAAGAGTTGCCCTCGTGCTGAGCACTAAATGCAATTAGAGTAAAAATGCACGCTTTTCCCGTGAGAAATGAGAGAACTTCAAAGACCTTTTCATTACTGAAAAAGAAAACTTTGGAGACAAAATAAAACACTTTACCATGTAGATGTCTGAATTAAGCGTTTTATTGCAAGAAAAATTTGTTCAGGGTATAATTGAGACCTTGATGGTGCCCTGCCTGGTGCACAGTGTTTCAGCTGTGTCTCCGGGCCTAGAGACGAGTGCCATGCTGAACGCAAGGCTGCTCGTTCTGCAAGGATCGGGCCTCAGTCAAGCATTTCACTTTGATGGCGATCCATTCCTCTTGCCTTTTGTCTCTATAGAATCAATACTGAAATGCAAATCAGTTAATTTTGCTGACCAGGGTATGTTATGTTGTTACGTATGGGGCCTGTTTCTCAAAGATTTCATAACCTTCCTGTTTTCCAAGGATCTGATTGCCCCTGAGTACAATTTTAAGTTACACCTTAAGAGAACGGTACTTATTTTGTGATCTGACCATTCCTGCCCTTAATCCCAATGCAGGCATTGCACTCCCCACCCAGGATTGCAGTCCCCGTCCTCTGCTAATTGCAGCAACAGGCTTGTGCGCCGATCACGTTACGCTCTGAAATAATCGCTGCTTGTGCTTCTTTGCAGATTCCCCACGGCGACTCTGGTGGTATCACTGGCTTTGCTGGGCGCTCAGCATGGTTGGGATGTTCTGCATCCTCCTTGCTCATGACCACTACACTGTGGACGTGGTGGTGGCTTACTACATCACTACAAGACTTTTCTGGTGGTATCACACAATGGCCAACCAGCAAGTGAGTTTCTCCCAGTCTTTGGATCCACGTGGCTCCGCTTGCTGTAGTGCGGTGGTGGGCGAATATCCGCACTTTGCCTTGAGCCTTTCTGCAGGAGTAGGAGTGGACTCGTCCGTGTCTTGTGGAGCACGCGTCTCTGTCCCCCCTCAGGTTGGGTTTGCAGGAAAGAGGCGACATCGGTTGGGTTCATCTTGCGTCTTGACCGCAAAAACATCTGAAGGTCTACCCGCAGGCGGTCAGGCCTCTCTGCGCTGTAACCTCAAGTTTTGAAGTCCTGAATTTGGGCCGCTTGGCGAGCTTTGTGATAGAGAGCAAACCATTTAGATGTGGTGGTGGGGTTTTGCCTTTTTTTTTTTTATTTTTGTTGAAGCCAGCTGGGTTTTCCTTGTATTCTGTGTCTGTGCCTTTCAGTTAGGCAACAGGTCTCTTGAACAGTGTTGAGGCCTCGCTAAAAATGAACCGTTTTCTCCCAGTGTTTGCAGATGGCAGTAAGTGCCCCTGGCCAGGGGAGGTGTTCCCTTTTGGAGGACTGTGCAGCAGAGAACAGGCTGCTCCTGTCCTAAGGCCCGTGTCTAGGAACGCGTGAAAAATAGGGTGTCAGGGGCAATACTGAGAACAAGGAGCTGCTTGGGAGGAGAGCAAAGCATGGTTTGTAATACTCTACCAGAGAGAAGCGGTAAATGATTCAAAGGTCGAATGAAGAAGTCTAAGCGAGGTCTCATGTCATTCTCGTCATTAAGAGATGAGCTTACAGTGCTGAGGAATGTGAGGGAGAACGCGCAAGTCTTACCCATGGGAGAGATCCAGTGAGGTAAGGGAAACTTAGGTCTGTAACAGCAAATTGGTGTCCAAGTATTTTCTGTGCAGCATGCAGAAAGACATTTTGCTTATCTGTTGCGTATGGCTCCAGTTAATTCTGTTTAAGACAGACCTAGTGTGATGGTAGGAAATTAACTGATACGGTGGTGGTACAGATGTTTAGGTCATGTCAAGGTCTTCTAGCTGTCATGTGATGTTATCCCAGTGGGTTTGATGCTGCTTGTCAAGCCCTCTGCTACGGTTTTACCACCAAATGCCTAAATTGCGAGGAACGTGCTTTGATGTTCAGTCGGGTTGGGAGCCACCGTGCTCGATAGCAGCCTGTGCCCAGACTTCGTAACTCTCGTCATGCAGCATCGGACTGACTTCCACGCTTGGAATTCGCTCCTGGGGTCTGTGAACGCAATGGTGCTAAGTGGCCGTGCTTCTGAGCTGGAAGCTACCCAAGTCAGGATTGCTCTGGTGCTAACGAGGACTCGCTTCAGAAAGGCTCCTTGCCGTACTGTTTGCTGCGTGATGTGGCTCAGAAGGTGGTTCAGCATTGCTTCCCGAAGCTGCTAAGATGTTGGGAAATGCCAGTCCCTGGGTCCTTACTGAGCACACAGTTGTGTCCTAGCCTCTGGTGCTGCTCCACGTGCAGGGGGCTGTGGCTTGTGTCTGACCTTAAAATCAAAAGCAGAAGCCCAGTAGGGCTAAGGTGGATTTATTTTACATCCGAGTTTATGGCGTGGAAGGAAAGCTTAGCGTGCAGTCCCTGGGCTTACACCTCTGGTGGGCTCGTACAACGCTTCCTTGCGCCTTCGCTGTGGCTTGCTGGTGGCTAGGAGAAGCCAAAGGGTGGGTGGGGGCGGCTTGAGAGCAG